TGCGAGTGTGCGATGTTGTGTGAGGGTGTGTTCAAGTGCAGATGCACACCCCACCAGTGGCCACCCCAAGGAGTGAACGGAGAGCCCTGAGGCCCCATGGACTCCCCCTTGCCCAGATACCCAGACTCTGCCTCCTGCAGCCAGTGCCCCAGAGCCCACAGCTCCCTGCCCTCCACACAGCATCTGGACAGCTCTTTGCACGCAGATGTTTGATATAAGAACCACACGGGTGAGCAATCAATAGTAATAGGCAAAGAACTTGAAGACCACCTGGCCTTACAGAAAGAATGAATTGCCCTGGGGACATTCTCCGGATAGGCCCCTGCCCCCGTGTGGTGCTGTGTCAGCCTCTGCCCTGACCATCGGACGCCAGCAGAGCTCAGTCTTTTCCATGTGAAGCGCAGGCCCCTACAACTGCTGCCCTCGCCCCCTGGCCAGCCACACTCCCGCAGGACCATTCATGCTAGTTGTTGGTTGCACTTCTTTCTCATCACCCGACCGCAGCCGATCTGTGACCATCATTCACCTGCCCCAGAGGGAGGCTGCTTCCTGGTGCAACAACACTCGCACCCAACATACGCTTTCTCTACCAGTTAACATGTTAAACCTTGCAGGCTGGGGGTCACCATCCCCATTTTACAGACAAGGAACATGAGGGACAGAAGCAGAGAGTGAAGACCCAGAACTCATCTGGGGAGGGCTGGGCTTCAAACCCATGGAACTGGTTTTAGCTGGTTATGCCTGACCACCCCTTGAGGGAAGGAAGCAAAGTATGCTGAGGACTGGCACTGTCACATCCCTTCTCGTCCCTCCACCTTGCTGCCAAGACACGGTCCCTGTTTTTACAGAGGCTGAGTGGGCGGCCCACTGCAAGCCTGCCCCATCCATGCCATGTGGTGCCTCAGAGGCTCCCCAGCTGCCCAGGTCTTCCTGCCTCTCAGCCTGGTCCCTGGGGCTCACGCGGAACGCTCTCCCAAACGTGCACTGCCTGAGGCAGTCTTGCTCCTACAAAACCAAGTTGCCTCTTCTCCTGGGAGACTCCTGAGCATTCTGACCTACACTGCCTCCAGTCGGCTGACACCTCTTCTCTGGTGTGCTGTGGTAGAAGCTGTGACACTTGGCCAGGTAAGGAGGTGTCACTGGTCACCAGCTGTGCAGGGTCATTGTGCAGTAGAGTAGAACTCAGCAGATCTGGGGTGTCCAAACTGCACATTACAAAGAATGGATTGGCCCTTGGATGGCAAGCCCTTGGAATATCCTGCCTGATAAGAGTCTTTCCTTACTGGGAGCCTTAGGCTACGTCTGTGATTTATGATGGGGACCTTGAGTCACACTGTACCAGGCTGATCTCTGAGACAGCTTGAGGCTCAGTAACTAAGGTCAGTCATGCAGGCATTCTGCATGTATGTGGTCACCCCCGGTAAATATCAGCAGGCTTGGGTGACCTTCCCTGGCTGCCAGTACTCCATGTGTATTGTCACTCTTAGCAGGAAGTATGGAGCAGTCTGTGTGACTGCACTGGGACAGGACAAATGGCAGCTTGTACCTGGTGTCTCCTGAATTTGTTTGTGTACTTTCTACCTTTGTGATTATAATCTTATCCTTTTCACTATAATAAACAGTATCTCTACCTTTTCTGACTTCTAGGAGTCCTTGTGAGTCACTGAACCTGCAGGTGGTCTTGAGGACTCCCTTGCAGTCGTTTTGCATTTGGTGTCTCGCTGGTTCACTCACTCATTCCCTGTGGATTTGGGCCCTGCCATGTGACAGGGGATGGGTCTATAGAGGCATGAGACAGGGATGTATGCTAAAGGGGCTCTAGGTCCAGGGTGGGCTCTGAATGAGGACATGGACAATGACAACACAAGGTCTGTGCCACCGTGGGGAGCACAAGGGGATTCAGCCAGTGAGGAGGTGCCCTGGAGCTGATACCGAGGACAGGAGACCAAAACAAGCTGGGATTGGACAACAAAGGCTGCCTGTGGGATGGCTGGAAATGAACCTGGAAAGATGGGCTTTGGTGGTTGAGTGCAGGGGCTTCAAGGCCAGACTGCACTCTGATGGCCACAGAGAATCCAAGTGAAGCTGTGCAGAGAAGTGAAAGACCGCACCTGTGCTGGAACAAAGGAACGGCTCCAGGAGGCATGTGATCAATGTCTGGACTGAGCAATGGCTGCCCAGCTCCTATTTTTGCCTTTGCCTCAAGTCAGCCAGATGAGGACTTGACCTGCTTTTTCAGGTGCGACCCAATCACCCCGCCATCTCACATTCTCGAGGGAACATTAAATTCTAGAGCTGCCTCCTTACAGTAAATACCCCTGGCATATACTGAAAGGGATGGGGGAACTGTTTGCCACTCTGTCCCTATCTGCTAACTCCCATGTTTTCATCCTGAAAAATGAGTGGCTTTTAGCTGGTGGCCTCAGGCAAGTGGTTTAACTTCTCAAAATCTCAGCTCCTTTTCTATGAAGTGGGGATAACAATATCTGCACCACATGGCTGCTGAGAAGATGAAATGGAGTGATGTATGTAAAGTGCTTATGTGTAAAGAGTATAAAGTGTTAAAGTCTTACACGAATGTCACTGTCTTGACTGATTTTAATGAAGTCTGTGCTGAAGCTGATGAATGACACACAAAGTCTTTTTAAAGGTCTGGGCTTTGTGACACATCACACATTTCAGCATTATAAACCTTACTTTTTGGCAGAGGAACAAAACAAAACCAAAAAAACAAAAAACAAAAAACAAAAATAACAAAACAACCCCAAACCAAACCACATGATCTAAAACCATATGGCCTGAGTTAATACAAGGCACAAACAACTGATAAAAGCATCTTTTAAGTTTTTTGTTTTTAAATTTCATTTTTCCCCCGAGGTAAAAACCAAAATGAGCTCTGTTCCAGGCCTGCTGAGAAGACCATCCATACCTGTGGATCTCTCCTACCACCTGGTGGATATCTGTGGAACCCGGAGCATGGAGAATGGGAGGGGCTGTTGTTCCTCTTGAAGGCTCACTCCGCTTTCTCACCCAACCGTGTGACCCCGCAGAGAGAAGTGTATATGATGTGCAAGGGGGCTGCTCTGCACAGTTCCTGCCACTCACAGGGCCCCCTGCTGGATGAAGAACAACACACCAAGGACAGACAGAAGGTCTCTACCCCATCTGGCACATCCCCAGTTCACTGATGGATGAGAACCAAACAGTTGCTAAGGGTTTTTTGATAGTTGCTGCACTCACATGGCATCCCCTGGGAATGAATTCTCCAATGCTGGGCCAGGGATCTGCTCTAGCTGAAGGCTTTCTCACATTTGTCACACTCAAAGGGCTCCTGTCTGGCATGAATCCTCTGATGCAGAACAAGGGCCGCAGCCTCACGGGAGGTTTTCTGACACAGGCTGCATATGAAGGGCTTGGCACCCGCGTGGACGCGCTGGTGCTGCGGCTGAAGGCTTTGCTGCATGCATGGCACGCATAGGGCTGTTCCCCCCGTGTGCACCCGGTAGTGCTCAGTGAGGTGTGACATCTGGATGTAAGCCTTGCCACAGTCGTTGCACTTGTTGGGCTTCTCCCCGGTGTGTGTCCTGAGGTGGAGGGTGAGGGAGAAGCTCTGCACAAAGGCCCTTCCACAGTCTCCACAAACAAAAGGCTTCTCCCCAGTGTGGATCCTCTTGTGCTGAGTGAGGAACGTGCTCTGGATGAAAGTCCTCCTGCATTTTCCACACGTGTAGGGCCACTCACCCGTGTGCACCCGTTGCTGCAGGACCAGGGCTGAAGAATTGCCGAAGGGTTTCCTGTACTCACCGCATGTAAACGGTTTCTCATCACTATGGATCTTGAGGTGCTGGGTCAAGTAGGAGCTCTGGCTGAAGGTCTTCCCACATTCTCCACACGTGTAGGGCCGCTTGCTGGTGTGCACTCGCTGGTGCTTGGCCAGGGAGGAACTCTGGCTGAAGGCGTGGCCACAGGCATTGCATGCATATGGCTTCTCACCCGTGTGTGTCCTCAGGTGCTTGCTGAGGGACTAGCTCTGGCTGAAGGCTTTCCCACATTCCTGGCACGTGTATGGCTTCTCTCCTGTGTGGCAGCGCTCGTGCTCGGTCAGGGATGAGCTGAGGCTGAACACCTTGCAGCATGTGTGACACTCATATGGCTGCTCTCTTGCGTGGGTTCTGTGGTGGACCAGGAGGGTCGAGGAGTTGGTGAAGGCTCTGCCACACTCATGACAGGTGAACAGCTTCTCCCTAGTGTGGACTCGCTGGTGCTGCACGAGGTGAGTGCTCTGGCTGAAGGCATGCCTGCACTTGCCACAGGTATATGCTTCTTGCCTGTGTGCACCTGCTGGTTCTTGGCCAGGGACGAGTTCTCTCAGAAGCACTTGCTGCAGTAGCCACACGCATAGGGCTTTTCACCTGTGTGGATGCACAGTGCTTACGAGGCACGAGTTCTTGCTGAAGGCCTGTCCACATTGCCAGCATGTGTACAGCTTCTTGCCAGTGTGGGTTCTCTGGTGCTGAATGACATGTGTGTCTGTCCAAAGGCCTTCCCACACTCCTTGCATGTGTAGGGCTTCCATTTAGTGGGAACCCACTGATAGCCCGCAAGGAATGCATTCTTGCTAAAGCCATCTTTGGACCCACCACACACCAATGTATCCTCCTCAGTGTGAACTCCTCGTGGGCGACTAAGGTCTGGAAAAGAGCTGAGGGCTTCCATACACTTACAGTCTCCTTGGCAGGGCACCCCTGATCTAGGACTGAAACACAGGTGAGGCCCTTCTGCCAACCTGGCTTGTGAGACCTTGCACCCCTGGGGATTGCCCTGATGCTCAACAAGGAATGGGCGCCAGAAGAAAGTTCCTGCAAGGTTCCACTCTGGGCTCTTCTTCCGCTGGCTGCGTGTCACTGCTCGGCAGTGTCTGTCACCTGGCCTTCATGCTCTGTGACTTCTCTCACGATGGTGTGCCAGAAATCCTGCCTTGTGAGTCCCATTGTCATCTGCCCCCGAAGCAGAGCACCTTTGTCTAGAGGTAGCCATGCAGCTCGGGGCCCAGGCTTTGAGCCTGAAAAATAAGCAAGGAAGTATGCTCAGGATCCAACCTGAACATGCACGGCCAATCGGGAAGATGGACAGAACCGCAGCAGTCAGACTGGACAGTGCAGATATGTGGCTTTCAGCAGGGCTCTTGCAGTTGAGGACAGAAGAGTGAATGGATCAGGGTCTGGAAGACCACCCACAGGCTTGGTGATTCCTCAACACAGTTCTCAGCACAGAGTCATACTCACGGCTGTGACTGGTTAGAGCAAAAGGACACCAGGCAAAATCAACAAAGGGAAAAGGTGCAGGGGCAGAGTCCTCTCCCAGTGGAGCCACACAGCATGCACCTAACCCCTCCAGCTCTGGATTCTGACACTGAAGTGTTGTCTACAGTTTGTCAGAGGCTCAGAGCTTAGGGTTTTACTAGGGGCTGGCCATGCAGGCACTGGCTGTGTAGCATGTACCAAAATCCCAGGCTCCCAGGAAGAAAGTAGGCATTCAGTGTAAATCACGTTGTTTGTACAAATGGCTTGGGTGCAGTGAGCCATTCTTATCATTTAGGGAATGGGGGGATCCTACCATAATCCAAGTTGCCAGACACCAGCCAAAGGCCAACCCTGTGCTAGGCCTCTCTGAGAATGGTGGCCTCATGCCTGCTGTCAACTCTCTTCTGCCCAGTAGGGAGGAAAAGTGGTAGAACGGAGCACAGAAAGTCATGGGCCAAGGCCACCGAGAGCTGCCTCACCTGTCAGCTGCCACTATTTTACAACCACGCCCTCACTAGAACAGGGCCTGGTCAACAGAATGGAAAACAGAAACCTGCAGGTGAATGCTCATAGAGAACTATTCTTTTTTTTTTTTTTTTAATGTTTTTTTATTTCTGAAGGGGAGAGAGACAGAGCACGAGCGGGGGTGGGGCAGGGAGAGAGGGAGACACAGAATCTGAAGCAGGCTCCAGGCTCCAAGCTATTAGCACAGAGCCTGACATTGGGTTCAAACTCACAAGCTGTGAGATCATGACCTGAGCCGAAACTGGATGCTTAACCAGTTGAGCCACCCAGTTGCCCCTCATAGAGAACTGTTCTTAAGGGTTAGAAGCCAGATACAGAAAGGCCACACATAGTAGCACATGTATCTTTGTGAAAAATAAGTGAATTTATATGTATCTATATGAATATATTTATATAAACTTCACTTATATGAAAAGTTCAGAAGATGCAAATCACAGAGACAGAAGACAGATTAGTGGCTGTCAGATGCTGGGGGAAGTGAACGAAGAGACTGTTAAATGACTGTCGGGTTTGTTTTCAGGCTCCTGCACCTACTAGCTCTTTTCTGTTGGATATACACTGCACCTCCTTGCCCCAGGAGGAGAAATAAACTGATCTGAAGCATGGTAACTGTAGTTATAACACTGTACTATATACTAGAAATTTCCTAAGACAGTTAGTTGACTGTAAGCATTCCCACCACAGAAAAAATCATCGCAACTATGTGAGGAGATGGATATATCTATTATTTGGATTGTGGTAATCATTTCACAATGTATATCAAAACACCATGTTCTACACTTTAAATATACACAATTTTTAACTGTCAATTATACGTCAAAGCTAGGGGGAGAAATTAATTAAAAAAACTGACCTGATAGACCTTTACTTCACTCACCTGGACCTCTCAGAACATCTGTCTCCATAGTCCAGGGGTCTTCCCACTGTTCCAGCTTGGAGATCACATCCGGTTTGCAGCCGGGGAGTCCTGCCCATAGTTAGAAAGTAGAAGGGAAATGTTGATGCTGTTGTCACAAGCCAGCCAGGACCCAACAGGCCCAGTAATGCAGTGTGTGTGCCTCAGGCACAGTAGAGGTCTCTCCCTGGTGATGTGGGATAGGGTGTCCACTCTGCACAGAAGGGACCCAACTGGGGGACACAGGTCAGAGCAAGGACCTATCTGGGTGTGGGTTACTGGGGACAAGGCAGGGGATAAATACACCCATGTAGTGAACACATGTGGAAACAGACATGTGACGTGGATGAAGAAGAGACAGGGAAACCTCACCCAGGGACCCAAGTTGCTGTAGTTCCTCAGCATCACATCATGGTACAGGATCCTCTGTGTGGGGCCCAGAAGCCCCCATTCCTCCCATGTGAAGTCCACCACCACATCCCTAAATGTCACTGGCTTCTGAAACATCCCACATGCAGTGGCTCAGCTGTGGGTCCTGTCTGGCCAGAGCCAGCCCCATAAGGAACAGCAGAATGTGAATGTTCTGGGAAACATCCTATGGTCATGGTTGGAGGGGTGGCTCATTCTGTGAGTGGCACTATTATCACCTTGACACTGGGTGCCATGGTCCTACCTGAATAGTTGTGTCTTCTCTGTTAAAGTTTTACCCCTCAGTGCAAAGGCATTTGGAAGTAGGGTCTTTGGCGGGGATTAGGTTTAGATGAGGTCATGAGGATGAGGACCCAGGATGGGACTAGTGCCCTCATAAGAAGAGGGAAAAACCAAAGTGTGCGTGTTCTCACCTTGCTTTCTACCCAGTGTGTGAGGACACAGAGAGAAGGCAGCTTGTCTGCAAGCCAGGAAGAGAGCTCTCAGCAGAACCCAGGCCTGCTGGCACCCTCATCTTGGACTTCTAGTCTTCAAAACTGTGAGAACTAACTTTGTCGATTAAGCCACAGAGTTCATGGTATTTTGTTATAGGAGTCTAAACAGATTAAAGCACAATGATTTTGGGTGCCTGGGTGGCTCAGTCGATTGAGCATCCGACTCTTGGTTTTGGTCTGGTCACGATCCACGGTTCATAGGTTTGAGCCTCACATTGGGCTCCAAGCTGACAGTGCAGGGCCTGCTTGGGATTCTCTCTCTTTCCCTCTCTCTCTGCCCCTCCCCTGCTCTCACACACACACACTCTCAAGATAAATAAATACGTTAAAAAAAAAAGAATTGAACTTAAAAAAAAAAAAAAAGACACAGTGATTCTTCATCACTTCCCAAAACACTCAGCTTTGTGGCCACCAGAGGGACAGCTGGATGGCCCTTACCAGCCCCCCACAAAGCCATCTATCACACCTGCATGGTCTGCATCCCCTTTAAGGTTGGGCAGGGGAGGCTTGGAGGATGGGATGGCATCTGATACCAGCCACATGTGCTCTGAGGCCATTAAGTGTCCCCAACCTGAATTTTACTGCTCCACAGCGGCACTCCTAGCTTGTGGCAATAATCCCTCTGCCTTGTGTGTGGCTGTCTTCTTGGGGACCCCATTAAAAAAAAGGGCCTGTCAGGAGGCAGCAATTTCAGAGCAACTACTTACCACCCAAAACCTATCTAGACACTGCTCATGCCACCATTCATTCATTTGCCTGTTAATATCTTCCAGGTATCTGTACATGCCAGGCTCTGCTCTGTCCCTTTCCTGGATCCTGGATAAACAGTGTGACCATAAACAGCCTGTGTCCCAGATCTTCCCAGGCATGGGACTTCCTCCAAGGTGCCTTAGATTGACAGGGTCATTAAGCGCCACCCTGGAGTGAAGACAGAAGGAAGACAGGAGGAATGGCCAGGGCAGAGGAAGGCACCCTGTCCCAGAACTCATGCTCCTTGGGGGTTGCGGCTCTAGTCCTGTGCTGAGGAGTAGAAGTATCACAGAAGCAAGGGCAGAAAGGAGTATGCCTGCTGGGACTGCTGGCATTATGGGAAACTCATGTGGAAGGCATCTGCTGGGAACGCAGCATCTTGGGCCTTGGGCTTGTCCTCCTGGACACTCCCCTGAAAAGGAAGAACTGGGGGAGGGCAGGGGATATGAGAGAGGCCAGAGCTGCCCTCAGGTCCCAGAGACCCAAGCCCCAAAGCCCTCTCACCTCACATCCCTCCCCTCACGGGCCACTAGCCTCTCTCCCAGGGGCTCCAGCCCTCCCAGTCCAGACCCTCCCACAAGCGTTGCTCCTGCTTACCTTCCAGGGCTTGGCAGAACCAGAGCCCCTAACATATGGCAGGCATGCTGTGGGCCCCTTACATCAGCTTGCTTGATCCTCACTCTGTTCCTGAGAGTGATGGTTAGGATCAACACTACCAGACCCATCTTACACTAAGGAAACTAGGCATCAAGGGGGAAGACGCTTGCTTGGATTGAGCTTCTGCGGGGAAGCACCCCCACATGTCCCCACCCATGACCAACCAAGATAATGAGTCCTGTGGAGAAGGCTGTATCCACGTGGACCCACACCCCCCAGAATTAGTCTGGGGATGTCGCAGCCCACCTGGGCTCTGGTGAAGGGGTCTATATAGCTGCCATGGATCCATGGTGATCCAGAGGATGAAAAATACTTGGAGTAGGAAGCCCAGAAACTGCAGTTCCACCATGTGCCACTAACTGGCCACATCCCTGCTCTGGACCTATTTCTTCTTGGGTACAAAAAGGACAGGAGGATGGATGGCATTAAGTCTCAGAAAGCCTTTGTGAAATATAACATAACATAGGAACACCTCATGGTGCCCCTGCTGCCAGAAGCCACACCACCTTTACACCCTCCATCCTGTCCTGGCTCCCAGGCTGGGCAGGGGGTCACTGAGCTCAGGCCTCCACAGAAAGTGGCCCTCTGATTCAATGCTTGGAAGTTGGGCCTCAGACCCCTGCCTCTAAAACAGAAACCACCCATGAGCCTAGGCTGAGTCCCTATGGGCAGCTGTGGCTCCACACCACGCCCAGGCTGCAAACTTCTCAAGGGGTTATTGTCCAATGCTGGCCAAGTTCCCTAACATGAGGAAAAAGAGGTACTATCATCACCCTCTTATACAAGTGGGAAAAGGGGGCCACAGAGAGATTAAATCAAAGGTGTGAAGCAAGTGATAGGTGAGGATGTGAACTCAGGTAGGCAGTCAGACTTGAGTCTATGCTCTCAAAAAGATACACTGTTACTAGAGGTATGAGTGCTCAGCTCAATCAGTTTTGACCAATGTACACATCTGTGTAGCAACCATCCAGACTAAGCTCTAGAACTTTCTGAGGATGGAAATGTCCTGAAGCTGTGCTGTCCAATTCAGCAGCCATATGCCCCATGTGGCTCCTGAACAGCAAAAAACACAGGTGGTGTGACTGAGAAACTGGATGTGTAATTTGAAGTCTAACTGATTCACGTTTTAATATCTACATGTGGCTGTTAGCTACCATTTTGGACAGCTCAGCACTAGGACTTTTCAGAACCACGGACAGCTCCCACCAGGCACACTTTCCAGGCAAAGCCCTACCCAGCCCCAGGGTGATTGCTGCTGGGATTTCTGACGGCACGCATGAGCTGTGCCTATTCTTGAACTTTATACAAAGTAAATCGTATGCTGTGTAATAGTCTGAGGATTCAGCCCCATGCTATCAGTTTTATGGACATCACTGGTAGCAGACACCTGTCAGGATGCCTCTACAGAGACTGTTTGGGGACAAAGTGAGATACCAAGTACGCAAGTGCTCAGAAGAGGGGAAAAGCGATAGTCCCAGCTGTCTTGAATTCAGTTCCTGACAGACTCCCAGTAGGGAAGGGCTGATGTGAGGCCTTTTGCCCCTCCGCACAGGGGTCAAAGTGGAGAACTGATCTCTGGGGCCCTGATGCACCCAGTGCCCATACCTTCCTCCCAGTGTCATTCCTAGACTGGAGACAGTGAGTGTGAGGGATAAGTGGAGTCTGTCAGACCTAGAATCAAATCCACCTTATCACTCTCTGCTGGGTGACCTTGGGTTGTTCAATCCCCTGAGGCCTGGGTTTTTTATCTGTAAAACTGGGTAATAGTGAAGGCTGTTTATTCATTCATTCAACAAATACTCCATGGACTGTGCATGATATCATGAAACTTGCAGTCTATGATGAATGGGAACAAGTATAAAGTCTTCAAATGTGTAAAAAACACATGTGTAAAATGTGTAAAAGTGCTAAAAAAAACCCATAATGTAGATGTGTGTGGCACCTGTTTTGGGTCAGGTGGTTAGGGAGGGCCTCTGAGGTAATACCTAAATTTAAATGCTATTCAGCAACCAGGGGGTGGGCCAAGGGAGAGCTATAGGTGAGGCCTGTAAACAGGAAGAAATCAGGTCATGCAGGGCTCAGAAGGCATGGGAAGTGTGGATCTGGTCAAATTAGGGGTCAGCAAACTCGGCTCCACTTACTGCCTATTTCTGCAGAGACCATGAGCTGAGAATAGTTTTTCCATTTTTAAGTGGTTGGGAGGGAAAAGTCATCAGATTAACGTTAAGTGAAATTCAGATTTCAGCATTCAGTGAAGTTCTGGATTTCATCAGGACAAAAAAAAAAACGTGTGGGTATGTGTTTTCTCTCTCGTTAGATAAGTATCTACTTGATTTGACATCCTTGGTTTTGCCTCTTGGCCTGCAAAGCTGAGAACATTTGCTACCCAGTGCTTTACAGGGAGAGTGTGCCGACCTACTGTGACAGCCAGGGCAGGGACGGAAGGTGTAAGGCAGAGGTGGCCTCACTGTTCAGGGTGTAAAGACCCCTCTGGTGCTGTGTAGAGAGCAACAGAGGGGGCAGGGGGAGGCAGGAGACCTGTGAAGAGGTGACAGTCTGGATTAGGCTGAGGATGGCAGGGCAGCAGAGTGAAGGCAGCAGGAGCAGCGCATGTTTTGAGGAAGATCTAGTTTCTGAAAATGTCCAGCCCTGTGACCACCACCCTGCCATGCGCCTCACCTGGCTCCTCAGGTTCCATTGCCTGCTACTCTGCTCCGTCGCTGGGCTGCTTGACCTCAGCAGTTACAGGACAGGGGCATGCGGTCTTAGTCCCAGACAAAGAGCCCAGGTTGTGGGAGGGAGCCACCGCCTCCTCCCATCTACTCCCATACAGCAATCAGGCTTCTGGCACTCACTTAGGGGCTCAGGGCTGGAATTCTGGAAAATGAAGCACTGCTGGGTGAGCAAAGGCAACAGGGAGTGGGCGTGGCCATACACGTGGGCTTCCCTGGGACAGACCCAACTGCTTCCTTCCCCCAAATGGAAAACACATGTCTACACAAAAACCTGTAAGTGAATGTTCACAGCAGCATTATTTGGGTAAACAAACTGGTAAATATAATGGAGTATTACTCAGCTATAAAAATGAATGAAGTACTGACACATAGCACAACATGGATGGACTTTAAAAACATGCTCAGTGAAAAAAGCCAGACACAACAAACCCACACATTGTATGGTCCCATTTAATTTATATCGCATGTCCGAAACAGAGAAAGATTAATTAAGAGAGAATTAACAGAAAGATTAATGGTTGCCAGAGGCTGCGGATAAGGGGAATGGGGAGTGATAGCTAAGGGGTATGGGCCATAAGCACGCACCTGAGTTCACACCTGCAGACACAAAGGAGGTGTCACACACACAAAACACCCCTTCCCCACACAGACATGCACGGTGACACACCTGACCACTCGCACACACCTGAAGTCTCATCTGCACACACAAATGGTGTTACACATGGGGCGCCTGGGTGGCTCAGTCGGTTGAGCATCCGACTTCGGCTTAGGTCATGATCTTACAGTTCGTGAGTTCAAGCCCCGCGTCAGGCTCTGTGCTGACAGCTCGGAGCCTGGAGCCTGCTTCGGATTCTGTGTTTCCCTCTCTCTGCTCCTTCCCCGCTCATGCTCTGTGTCTGTCTCCCAAAAATGAATAAACATTAAAATTTAATTAAAAAAAACACACACACAAATGGTGTCACACATGCAATACACTCTTCTCTGACATGCACCAGCAGTAACATGCCCAGTCAAATGCACATACCTGAGGTCACACTGCAGACACAGGCAAGGGCTGTGCTGGGGTCCCCACACACAGGAGGTCTCATCTGCCCACACAGGTGGTGCTTCGCATGCAATACACCCTTCACTTCTGAAACGCACAGGTGGTGACACACTCAGCCACGTGCACACACCTGAGGACACACCTACACAGACAAGTGACGCACTGGGTCCCCACCCCCCCGCGCCCCCGACATCTCATATACACACTCAGGTGGTACCTCACATGCAAGACAGCCCTCCTCTGACACGCACACGTGCAGTGTCACACTCGGCCACACACAGCTGAGGTCTCATGGGCACGCATAGGTCTCTTCCTCATACCCCGCGGCACGCGCACACGGTCCCTCCTCTCTCCCCTCCCCCACGACCTCCCGCGACCCGTCGCCGGGTCCGCGCTCCCCTCCGAGCCCCACCCGGCCACCAGTCACTCCCGCTGCGTACACGCGGGCCTCGTCGTCCCTCACACTCACGAAAGCCACCACGCCGGGACCGCGGACTCACCTCGGCCGCGGGCCCCCGTCACAGGCGGGCAGCGCCGCCAGCCGCCAGCCGCCAGCCGCCGCACACGCCCAAGGCACTTCCGGCTCTCACTTCCGCCGACGGCCCGCGCTCGGCTCGGGACCGGACCTCGGCGGGGTCCCTGCCCGCTGCATACCAGGAGCCGGCACAGGTGACTCGCCTTGTGGGAAATGGAGTCCAGAGGGCGACGAGCCACCCTCGTGGCTTGTTCCACGAGCCACAAGGGAGCGTGGGAACGTGTTGATGAGCCGCTGTCGCGGGGGACCAGACGGATATGAACACGCATGGGTCTATGTAAGTTCTTGCAGATATGCAGCGGACTTTTTTCTTTCTCTTCGCACACTCACGTACGCCCACACTCGTCTAACTATAGTTTGGGGTATTCCCACCCCACCCCCCCAACCCCTGAGCCCTGTGCCTCCTGTAAAGCTTCCGCAAATGCCCTCCAAGAACCAGTAATTCTTCCAATTACTCAAGAAACCACACCATTACCTTCTATATAGTCATATGCTCATTCCTCCCAATTACGTCCTTTTTGTTTTCATTCTTTAGTGAAGCCTGCATACAAAACCATGCACAGCACTCTGCTGTGCCTGGTGGAGTCGACTCCTGATGTGCAGGCTAACCTTCTCTACCCTTCCTTCCCACTAGTCAGTTGATCACAAGGGGAGATTAAAGAAATCAGCCACTTATCTTAGACTAGAATTGTGCAAGAGCTTTCTAGAGTTGAGGGAGATGTTCTATTTGTAGCTACTGAGCAGTTGGAATGTGGCTAATGTGATTGAAGAACTCAATATTTACTAATTTGGGGTGAATTTAAAATTACATCTAAATAGCTATACCTAGCTAGTGATTACGATGGACAACTTGGTACATCTAGATGTTCACCTTGGATCTCCTTACAAGGAGACCTATAGGAGACTGTTCTTTAGACGATGCAGATTTCTTACCAGTTACCTTTTGCACAAATGACTTGAATCTCTCTGAGGATGTACAAGGAGATATTGAAAATGGGGAACTTGGCTGTTGGCCACAATTTACGTGTGGGCATAATTTGGGCTGATACAGGGAATTTAATAAAATAACTTAGAAATATATGTGCTAAAATAGCTTGCAGGAAAATGCGTTAAGTCAAAGCTGTTTTATACTTAACTGGTTCCATTAACTCAAGGTTCATGCATGTGTGCCTATATAAGAACAGGTGTGGCTAAGAATTTAGTGTGTGTGTGTGTGTGTGTGTGTATGACAGAAAACAATGAAACCAATTATCAAACTTACTTTAACTTGAAAGAGTTCAGATTTTTAATTTAAATTTATTTTTTGAACTGGTAATACTTTCACATATTTCAAAATTCCAAAAATACCAAAAGATATAAAGTGAAAATCACTCCTCATCCCTTTCCCCCCACATCTCCTCCCCAAGAGCAACTAGTATGCTTGGTTACTTTATACCCTTAGGAGATATCGTGTATGTGTGTGTATGTGTGTGTAAGCAAAGGATTTTTTACACAAATGGAAACATACTTTACATACTGTTTTACACCTTTTCATTTAACAATGTATCTTGGGAGCTCTTTCCCATATTAGTACATAAAGACAGTCCCCATTTTTAAGACTGTGTCATGCTCCATTCCAGCAATCACTAACCCAGTTCCCCAGGGTGGACACTGAGGTTGTTTACAAATTTTACTTCTGAAATCAATACCATAGTGAAACCATGTACAGTCTACAATGTACAAATACATCTCCCAGCAACAGGTTTACTGAGACAAAGAGTTTGTGTATTTATAATTTTAATTTTTATTAAAAACATTTTTTTAATGTTTTATTTTTGAGAGAGAGAGAGACCGAGTATTAGTGGGGGAGGGGCAGAGAGAGAGGGAGACACATTATCTGAGAAGCGGGATCCTGGCTCTGAGTTGTCAGCACAGAGCCTGACATGGGGTTTGAACTCGTGAACCACGAGATCATGACCTAAGCCGAAGTCTGAAGCTTACCAGACTGAGCCACCCAGGCACCCTGTGTGTGTCTGTAATTTTAGATAGCAACTGATAAGCTGCCCTTCACAGAGGCTGTATCACTTTTTACTCTCCCTGGAAACATGTAGAAAAGACTCCCCCACTTTTGGATAAAAGTCAAGGCTGGTAAAACGCTAGGTGGTCATGCTCCTACAACCCTCCTGAAAGGTAATTTAAAAAGCAAGATGAGATTCATGGCCAGAGGAAAATGCTCAAAAAAAACCCCAAAACAGTTAAGAAGCATGTGTTACTAGAAAGGATTCCAATTTTCTAAACACGACACAACTAGAAATATATTTTTTGTGAGTATAAGATCTATATACCCACATGTACACTCTATGTATACATTTATATTGTTATGAAAAAATTACAAGGGAAATTAACAAAATCTTAATGGTAGTGACCATCTCTGGATAGTGGAAGTATGAGGAATTAAATTTTACTTTTGTGCATCTTCCATGTTTTACAGTAAAGAATTTGCATTACTTTTATAAACTGATAAAGCCGTAGTTTATAGTAACTTCCTCTGAGGAGTTTATCTGACTGTTTCAAAACATCTGTAAGGAAATCAGTGGGAACATTATGCCTAGAAAACACGACCCGAAATGAGAAATGAAACATTTGTAATCATCTCTGCTGCCTGGAGAGGGAGGCGAGTGACAAGCTTGTTCCCAGCTTATCCACTGAGGCCACTGTAACTTCAGCCCAACCAGCAACCATTCTGAGACCCTTTAGGAGCTGCCATTTTGTGGGCCAAGGTGGAGGGAAAGGGACAATTGTAGGCCTGGCTTTCACAGCTGCCTAGAACCATGAAGTTACCACTGGAGCTCCCCTCCACATAGGGCACTGATAGGTAGAACATTCCCAAAGCTGCACCCCACACCATTGATGGGGAAGGGAAGAGGAATGGTCAAAAGTGGGGCTTATCTATGTTTTATGATGTCCATGATAAAATGCTAAAATTAAAAAAACTTTTTTTTAATGTTTATTTTTGACAGAGAGAGAGAGACAGAGCACAAGCGGGGGAGGGGCAGAGAGAGCGAGAGACAGACACAGAATCCAAAGCAGGCTCCAGGCTCTGAGCTGTCAGCACAGAGCCCAACACAGGGCTCGAACTCACAGACAGCGAGATCATGACCTGAGCCAAAGTCGGACACTCAACTGACTGAGCCACCCAGGCGCCCCTACAATGCTAAAATTTAGATTACTCAGAAAAATAAGTAGATTCTTTTTCTTTTTTCACACCAATTAGGAATGCTGCAAAATGGTCAAAAAGACTACTATAAGACACATTGGGTATAAAGTTTTTTTTTTTATATTTATTTATTTCTGAGATAGAGCATGAGTGGGGGAGGGGCAGAGAGAGAGAGGGAGACACGGAATCAGAAGTAGGCTACAGGCTCTGAGCTGTCAGCACAGTGCCCGATGCGGGGCTCGAACTCACAAACCGTGAGATCATGACCTGAGCCGAAGTCAGTCGCTCAACCGACTGAGCCACCCAGGCACCCCTAGACACATTGGGTATAAATCAGTTAATGATATCATTTGTTAAAATCAAAGGTATAGGACTGTTAGTGCAGCCCTGATCAATTTAGACTCTGGAAAAGTTGGCTGTAGTTCTGGGCATGGTTTCCTTACTTTGGCATATTTGAGGCTAGGTAATTCTTTGTTGAGGGACGGTCTTGGGCATTAGAGGGTGTTCAGCAGCATCCACTAGTTGCCAAGTGGCACCCCTCTGTTCTGCCAGTTATGACAACCAAAAATGTCTCCAGACATCACTAGATGTCTCCTGGAGGACAAATCCACCCCTGATGGAAAACCTGTGGCTTAAGCAACGCTGGCAATTTCAAAGCAATGGCTTTCAAAAGGATCTGTGACATGCCCAGGGAATGTAGCAGAATTTCATGGGGGCCTTTTTGTCTTTTGCTCTGGGCATGGGTGCAGCTGACATGTGGGTGGGGGCCAAGTGTGCTCTTGTGAAGTGCAGAGCTGGCTCCTGTGGACCATGTACATATCTGTGAAACAAGTCTGTCATGTGTGAACTGAGATCCTAAGTCAACTTCACACAGAAACACAAATTAACCCTGCACGCTTAGAATTTTATACAGAATTTTCCAGAAATGCAATGGTATTTTGTTTTGTCCAAAACTTTTGCAAGAGTTAGTCACCACTTAGGAAAAATCACATCCCATACAGGAATGCCACTCGGACTATTTCCATGACCAATACCATATCCCATATGCCAGACGGCACTGGCAATGCCCCAGGTAGGTGTTCAGGCACAGTGGCCCACACAGTCACGTGGAGAGATACCGCACCAACTCAGTCCACATCACTCTACCATAAATTACTTTTGTTTTAATTATGCTTTACAAAAAGGGGCCGTATATCGATTTTTTACAGTACATGTATGTGGGTTACATTACCTATGAATTCATTTTGCAGTAATAGAGGGAACAGCACAAAACACGTGTGGTTAAAGGGGGCACTGGGCTTGGCAGATTTGAGAACCATCAATCTCCAGTATTTGGGAAGCACCATTTCTTTAAGAATCAGAGGTCGCTTTAGACGTTTCTACCCCCAGTCCCCCTTTCTGTGAATGCACTATGTGGACTTACCACATTTTTGTACCTGTGGTTCAAAAGTCATCTGTAGAGTTTCTCTCCTACGAGGATTCTCTGATGTCAAATAACACAGAAGCACCCATGGAAGACTCTTCAACCCCAATGACGTGAACCGGGTTTTTTTCTTGCATGATTTCATGGATGTCAAACAAGGCAAGCGCTCGGCTCGAGGGTTGTCCTGCCTTTGTCCCACCCCCAGGGTTCTCGCTGGAGTGTGTGTGCTGATGCCGGGCAAGGTGTGAGCCCCGGGCAAAGGACTGCTCAAGCCGGCGCCGGTTCCGGCCCTGGGACTCCTCTCTGGTGTGAGTTATCTGGTGTCGGATGAGGTGCGAGCTCTGAATAAAACATTTCCCACAATGATTACACTTAAAAGGCCTGTCGCTTCGGTGAGCCCTCTCATCTGGATTCAAAGGTGGGTCACAGCCGAGGGCTTCTGCCCACTCATGCTTCGTCAGAGCTGGCGTCTGCTCGAAGATCAGCCTCTGGCGGCACTCGTAAGGCTTCTCCCCAGCATGCTTTCGCTGGTGCTGGGCCAGGGAGGAGCTGTGCCTGAAGCCCTTCCCACAGTGGTTGCACTCATAGGGCCTCTCCTCTGTGTGTGTCCTCAGATGCAGGAAGAGGCACGTGGTCCGTGAGAAGGACTTCCCACACACGCTGCAAGTGTATGGCTTCTCCCCGGTGTGTGTCCGCTTATGCCGGCCCAGGGAGGAGTTCTGGTTGAAGGCCCGCCCACAGTCCTGACATTCATAGGGTTTCTCTCCGGTGTGAATTCTCCGATGGACAGTAAGGTGTGTGCTATGGCAGAAAGACTTCCCACACTCAGCACATTTATAGGGCTTGTCTCCCGTGTGGATTCGCTCATGCTGAACCAGGGAGGAGTTCTGGCTGAAGGCTTTCCCACACTCTTTGCACATATAAGGCCTCTCTCCCGTGTGAATCCTCTTATGCACTGTGAGATGTGCGTTATGATTAAACGACTTCCCACAGTCTGTACATTTGTAGGGTTTATCCTGTACTTGGCTTCGGGTGAGTTCTGTAATGGGAATGGCCTGACTGGAAGCTTTGCTACAGTCACTGCTGTCACACGGCCCTTTGCCGGAGGAGCCTGTCTGCTGGACTGAGCTTGAGTTACCTTCCGAGTTTATAGCCTGTGAGTCGTAAGCACAGAGATAGTCTCTCCTAGAAGTCTCCGAGGATGGATCTGGGTTTGCATTCAGGACACTGTTTTCCCCAGGTCTGAAACTTTCATAGCTTTTATCTTGAACTGGTACTTCCTCAAGGCTAACTTCCAATCGCCTCAAATTATCCTGTTCCTTCTCAGGCACCTGTACCTGGCGCTCACGTTCCCAGTGTTTCCCTAGTGTGGTGGGACAGGGAGTGTCCCTCACGAAGCCTTCCCTTTCCGCAACATGGGATGGCTCCTCCTCAAGAAGGCCCTGCTTCTTGGGTGACGCTTGGCTTTCGGGTCCAGGTTCCCAGCCTAAAAGAGTACCAAAGAGCTGAGGGAGTTGGCGGAAAAAACACAGAGAGGACACACTGGGCCTCCATCCTTACTACTCCTCCCACCTCTAGGAAAATCTCCATTCTGCTCCTGTGCAGACACCAAGTGTCTCGTCTGCAGAAACAGTCTCATGCTTTCATTCGTTCGACAAAAATCTCCCAAGTACCTGCCACAGGCCCAGGCACTGGCCTTAGACAAGGGTCTGGCAGACTACAGCCCCCAACTACGAGTACTTTTTATGTTTTTAAGGGCTGCAGGAAAAAAAAAGAAGGGTGTATGACAGAAGCAGAATTCTAAAGATGTCCCTGGCTGTGCAATCAGGCACTCATCTAGGTACTGCTATGAAGGGACTTGGCAGGTGACTCATCAGCTGACCTGAAGCCTTAAAATAGGGAGATGATGCTGGGTTATCAGGATGGGCCTGAAGTGGCCCCCAGAGCCCTTAAAAGCAGAAGGAGGTAAAAGGGAGAGGCTGGCTGCACAGGAGGACTTCAGTCGGGAAATGGGTGCACTTCCTGAGAACAACTCCTCCGCAACAGTCTCAAAGGAAACAGGAGCCTCAATCCTATGGTCACACAGACCTGCATTCTGTCTGACCACACCTGGAATTGGATTCTGAGTTCCCTGCCCAGTCAGGACCTTGACTTCAGTCTTGTGAGACCTGGAGCGGACAAACCAGTCAGGACTGACAGAAATGTGAGATAATGATTGGGTGTTGTTTTAAACTGCCAAGTTTATGGTAATTTGTTTCAGAGAGAACAGAAAACAAATAGTGAGTATACTTAGCCCACACAGCCTAAAATACTCACTGTCTGGCCCCTGATGATGGGGAGAAACTGCAACCCCAGCACATGAAAAGCCCAGTCCTCAGGAGCCAGGGAAATAGATACTGAGCAAACCATCGAAGGAGCAGGCTTGGGAGGCAGACAAGGAGCTCAGTTTTAGAAAACCGAAGTGTGGTAGGTCAGATACCCAAGTAGAGGTACCCTCATGTCTGTAGGACCCCTTGGGAGGACCAGCCCAGGTCGCAGAATCCTCCAGAACAAGAACTGCATGCAGGCAGGCGGGCTCCCCACTTTCTTACAGTGCAGCGAAGGCAAGGGTATCAGCTTCCTGTAGCTGCTCTAACAACGTGCTGCAAACGTATCACCTTAAGAGACCACACTTCTCTTACAGTTCTGAGGTCAGAAGTCCCAAGTCAAGGTATCAGCAGGGCTGGATGATTTTTGGCTGCTCTAGGAGAGAATCTGTTTCCGTGCCATTTCCAGCTTCACAAGACTGACTACATTCCATGGCCCTTTCCTTCACCTGCAGAGCCAGCAGACCCCAACCCCTGATATCTGGCTGTTCATTTTATCCTTTATAATAAACCAGTAATAAATAGTGTCCCTGAGTTCTGTGAGCTCTAAAAGCAAATTACTGAACCTAAGGAGAGGGTCATGGGAACCCCTGATTTATAGCTCGTCAGTCAGAGGTATGGGATGCCCTGACTTGTCAACTGGCATCTGAAGTGGAGGCATTCTTAAGAGACAGAGTCCTCAGGCTGTGGGGTCTACACTAACTCCAGGTAGATAGTGTCAGAATTGGACTTAATTGTTGGACACCCAGCTAGTAACTGGAGAGTTGGAGAACGGTTTGTTGGTGTGGAAAAAAACCCACACATTTGGTGTCACAAGTGTTATATGGGTAGAAACAAATCATGGTACTGCTAATTGGTGACTTTAGAGCCATTAAAATGTCCTCGAACTTGACAGTGGTGATGGGTATAATCTGTGAATATACTCAAAACCACTAAATTGTACGTTTTACATGGTGAAATTTATGGTCCGCTGGGGACCATGGCATCCAGAAGGGGACTAGCCTGGTAGGAGTTAGCTCAGGGCCTGGGGGTGCAGGCCAGCACTGGGGACTGGAGGATGTCAAACGTGTGGGGCACTTCAGGCTCTTTTGCCTCAGAGGAGACATGGTACTTCTGCATCTGCTGCAGATTCACCCTTGCCCTCGGGTAATAGGCTACACCTCATTGTGGAGGTACATGTGATTCCCTGCAGGTCAAAAAGCCCTGGGTGGTGTCAGAGGCTGAGCAGCAGGTACTGCTGGCCGTGTATCCCACTGTCATAGCCTACTTCTTCCAACGCACTTCAGGGTACCAATGCACCAGTCCCAGAGAAGGGATTGTGACAGGCATAAGCCAATTATGACAATCTAGGCCTCCTTTCCAGACTCCCTAGTGGCATAAGGGCAGGTAGATGTGACCCAGTCCTGACCAAGGAGACCTCAAAGGACGAAATCTGGAGTTCATTCAGATAAAAGGGGTGAAATGTTACTGGCACTATTCTTCCCACATCCACACCCCCTGCCTGGAGCACAGATGTGATGGCCAGAGCTGCTGCATCCATGCCATAACCTCAAGGAAAGGCCAGAAGAATCAGAACCATAAGCCTTGCCACTGAATACTGAGTCAGAGGCAGCAGTGGCTGCTTTGTGAAAAAAATTGCTTCTTTTTTTGAGTACTCTAGCCCAGGTTTCAGATATTTAGAGCTGAATACAATCCTTGTTGCTGAGAGAACACAAGGGTGTGGAGAACAGGTTTACAGAATCTGGACATGAAAGATTAAAATGGAGAAGATGGAGAGCAAGTTCACACATTAGAAATGATCCTGTGTCAAGGGCACACTGAGGTGGCAAGAGAGAACATGAGAGGGAGGACAGGGTGGGATTCTGACCACTGGAGGAGAGGCAGATGGTCTCTGCTCAGAGAAGGGAGAGCCCGGATGAGAAGAACAGAGAACACAGGAGCAGGGCGCAAACCTCCTACACAGAGAAAAGCTAACAGGGCAGGCCTAAGGCTACCATCTGTAGAGGGGCCAGTTTTGAGACTGGCCCTGGGCTGTGTGTGGGAATTTGGATTTCAAGAGAGTTCCCACCACCCTAACTGATAAGAGTGGCTCGCTGTGCCCAAACTGTGCCCACAGTATGGTTTACGGTGAACACCTGCTCTCTCCTGCGAGTCTGGACTCTTGGTCTGTGCCAGGCACAGGGTGCCTAAGTGACCAGCGCCCAATAAAACACCCTGGCACTGAGCCTCTAACAAGCTTCCCTGGGAGCTAGCATTCCTCATGTGTCGTCACAACTCACTACTGTGGGAACTACGCATGTACAGTGTGACTCTACTAGGAAGGAACTGTGGAATCTTGGCTGGCTTCTGGACTTCACCCCATCTGCCTTTTCTCCTTGCCGACTTTCCTCTATATTCTTTCGCTGTAATCACTGGCTCTTTGGGGTCTTGGGGACCCTGACACACCACCCTTTCCAAGCAGCACATCTGTAGTCACCTCTTGGGCTGCTCCCATTAGGAGTTCCCACTTGGCAGCTTCTCACCTGGACAGTGACCCTGGGCAATTCCTCTCTCCGCTGCCCACAGCTCAGCCCCTTGCTCCAGTTGGGAGATGACTTCAGGTTTTGGAAGCTCAGGCCCTGGAACAAGGGAAAGACACAGGATGTGGGGACCTGCCACAGAAAGAACCAGCTCAGAATCCAGCCCTACACTCCTGATAGGACATGAGGACATCTCACAATAAGGTGACGGCTTTGCATTGGGACAGAAAAGGGCAGAAACCTCCTCCTGCCTGTATGTACCACAAGGAATGAGAATGCAAGATCCCTGTCCCCCAGCCCAAGATCAAGTCCTCATACCAGAGGCCCTATGACCTATAACCCATAAAAAATAAGTCACTGTAGGAATCCAATCATCAGCTGGGGAAGCAGGCCTTACCCACAGAGAGCAGATGCCCAAAGGTCTCCAGCATCACATCACGGTAGAGGGTCCTCTGGGCGGGGCCCAGCTGTCCCCACTCTTCTTGGGTGAAGTCCACAGCCACGTCCCGGAAGGTCACCGGCTCCTGAAATATCACACACACTCTTGATCAGCTGGACTGCCCCCGTCAGTGCTCTTAGGAAGAGAAGGAGGAATGGAGAAGCAGAAGATGGGCAGGCCAGTGTCCTGAGAGAGTGCACATTCTGAATAATGCCAAGTCAGGTCTCACTGGGCACCTACTGGACTGTCACATTTAGGTTGTATAGTGAGGGCATATGAAAGTATCCCAGGAAGATGGAAGCCACCCACAGCTGACCTACAACTGATCTCAGACAGGTGCAGGTGCAAACAGAAATTGCTGACTTGCAGATCTGTGAGTTAAAGAAACAGTTACTGGTCTAAGCTACTAACCTTTAGGATAGTTTGTTACATAGTAACATCTAACTGATACATTAAATAACTCTCAGATTCAAGGCAAGACTCAGTATCCTACCTGAAAAGAGGGGTTTATAGTTGGAGTCGGAAACTCACCTATCTTCAGGGACCAGGCAGGCTCATCAAAGACTGAAGTGGGCTACTGGAAGAGCCTACGAGGGTACTTAACCTGTGAGAGGTGACACTGCAGGTGATGGGTAATATATACCCTATTTGAAGGGGCAGCTGGGACTCAGAACCAACTGATCATGGGGGAAATTCAGGTCTCATATGGTCAGAACTGCCCATCTCTAGTGAGTAGCTGAAAATTAGGCCACATTTTTAAATGAAACTTTTAATTTTTGTAAGTTGATGCAACGTATCTAAAACATGTCCTACAAATGAAACCCTTCTGTGGGCTCGGTGTGGCCACTGTCAGAAGCTAGATATTTCTGGATCTGAGTTTTGACTCTGCTACTTCTTCCTCAAGAAGCATAGAGCAGGTAACCACTTCTATTGCCATGCTTCCCTGTCTACAAAGAATCATTCCTTGGGGGCTGTGATGGGGAATAAGTGGTTGTGAAACACTTTCTACAGGACAAGATGCAAAAGAATAAAATCGGTCCTCTACTTCACACCATATAAAAAGTTAACTCAAAATGGATAAAAGACAAACGTAAGAGCTAAAACTATTAAGCTCTTATAATGAATCTTCACAATCTTGGATTGGTGAAGAGTTCTTAGAATCTGACAGCAAAAGCACAAGCAACAAAAGAAAAAAATAAGTAAGTTGGACTTCATCAACATTAAAAATTGTGCTTCAAAGGACACTATCAAGAAAATGAAAAGAGGGAAACCTGGGTGGCTCACTTGGTTCAGTATCTGACTCCTGGTTTCGGCTCAGGTGAATATCCGAGGGTTGTGGGATCGAGCCCCACCTTGGGCTCTTGCTAAGCATGGAGCCTCCTTAGGATTTTCTCTCTCCCTCTGCCCCTCTTCGCCACTCGTGCTCTCTCTCTCTCAAATTAAAAAAATAAATTAATGGGGCGCCTGGGTGGCGCAGTCGGTTAAGCATCCGACTTCAGCCAGGTCACGATCTCGCGGTCCGTGAGTTCGAGCCCCGCATCAGGCTCTGGGCTGATGGCTCAGAGCCTGGAGCCTGTTTCCGATTCTGTGTCTCCCTCTCTCTCTGCCCCTCGCCCGTTCATGCTCTGTCTCTCTCTGTCCCAAAAATAAATAAACGTTGAAAAAAAAAATTTTTTTTTAAATAAAAAAAAAAATTAATTAATTAAAAAAATAAAGTAAAAAAAATATCCACATACTGGGAAATAATAATAGCAAATCACAAATCTTGTATGTGACTTGTATCTGGAAAATATAAAGGACTCTTACAACTCAATAATAATGACAACACAATTAAAAAGGGCAAAGGACCTAAATAGGTATTTCTTCAAAGAAAATATAAAATATACAAATACTGAATAAGCACTTGAAAAGATGCTCAATATCAATAGCTACCAGGGAAATGCAAATCACAATCACTTACTAAATACCTCAATTATAAAGGGGTATGTTAAGAAAAACACAAGAAGGCTTCAAAATTTTAAAGAAATTATAGTACAGGTGGCATACAGCTGTGACAAAAATTGTTCAGGAAGCATGAGAACCCTTTGGTTGGGAACAGAAGTCTCTGTTCTTGTCCCCGTGTCCTCATATCCCACTCCGGTCCTCCAGCTCTGATACATGCTCCCTGTGCCTCCTGCCTTCCCTGCCTCGCCCCCTCAACTATCACCCACTCTGCATGGGTCCTCAGTAACAGCCCAGGCGCCAGGCCCACTGAGTACTGATCTCTCCAGGCCATAAGAGCCATGGCATTACATGAGTCCTTCATGTCTGCTCCTGGAATTCTAGCAGGAGCCCATTCCTTGCTTTTTCATGGCCCTCTCTGCTGCTCCACCTCAGACCCCTGTGGCTCTCCTCTTGTTCCGCACTACTGGTGCCTGGAGAGATGGGCTATCAGACTCCTTTACTCCACACACGCCCACAGCTGACCAGGCCACCCTGGCATCATCCAGCACCTGGTCACACTGGCCCCCTCCCCGCATCCTAGTTAGCTCTCCGTATTTCTCCTACCCCCACCTTCCCAGATGCTTTAATGTTTTTTCTCAAACCCAAGCTATACTTGCTTTAAAAAATCTTGAATGGCTCCTTTTCACCTTTGGGTACAGGATGGCCTCTTTCAGCCTGGCTATGGTTGACTGAGTAATGGCCTCCAAAGATACCCAGGTCCTAGTTTCTGGAGCTGGTGAATGTTACCATAAATGGCAAAAGGGATTCTGTGAATTTGATTAAGGATTTTTAAATGGGGAAATTATCCTGGATTATCCAGGTGGGCCCTAAATGCAATCACAAATGTCCTTCTAAGAAGGTGGAGGGAGATTTAACTACAGAAGACAAAAGGCAATGTGACCACTATGGCTAGATGCCATGCTGCTGGCTTTGAAGACAGACAAAGGGCCATTAGCCAAGGAATACAAGGACTACAGCCACTAGAGCTAGAAAAGGTGAGGAAACCGATTCTCCCCTAGATCCTCCAGGGGTGGCTCTGCCCAGTATAACTGATCTCAGGCTTCTTACCTCCAGAACTGTAAGAATAAATGTGTATTGCTTTAAGCCACCAAGTCTTTAGTACTCTGTTACAGCAGCCACAGAAAGCTATACACTGGACCTCAACGCCCTCGACTTCCTTGCCTCCTGTGGTGGCAAGCCTCCAAGATGGCCTCCAGTGGTCCCCAGTCCTTGTGTAGTTATGCAGTCCCCTCCTATACTGTGCAGGTTTGACAACCAATAGGGTTGGGCAACCAACAGGATACCGTACCAATGAGTGTGTAAATTCTGACCCCAGGGCACAAAAGGCATTGGGGCTTCTACCTTGCCATCTCCTGGACCACTTACTCTTTGGGAAGCCAGATGCCATGTTGTGAGGACACTCAAGCAGCTCCACAGAGAGGCCCACATGGGGAGGGACTGTCATGTGAGTGAACTGTCTTGGAGGTGGATCCTCCAACCCCAGTCAAGTCTCAGATGACAGCAGTCCACACTGATATCTTGATGGTAACCTCATGGGCCTAGGCCAGAACCACCAGCTAAATCATTCAAGGATTCCTGCTATCAGAACTGAGGTAATATATATTGTTGTTCTAGACCACTAGGTTTGGGTTACATGCAACAGATAACTAATACACTTTATCTTACTGCTGACAGACTCTCCTTGAGAGAGTCTCGTTCCTCTGAACCCTTTTCTCAACTAGGCCTTGACCTCTGGGCTTCTATGTCCACTTTGCATCACCCAGTTTCTTAAGAGTTGGTTTAGTCAGAAA